TAACATAAACGAACTCTAAAGAAGTTTGTCGATATCACGTGATCGAAAAAATTTTGGTGGCGATGCTGGGGAAGATAGATTTCGTAAGATTTCGTAGGATCATCACGTGAACATAAACCGATCACGAATTATAATATCTCCACGATTTGGTACGTATATACCCACCGCATACTATATTTTCTAAAAAAGAAAGACCCGACAAAAAAAAATGTCTACTAAGAGAACAAAGGTATATTCATTTTTTAAAGGGTCTAAATGAGTGTCGCTAAAAGAAAACCCGAAAATTTATATTTAAATTTTCGGGTTTTCTTTTAGCGACACTCAAATACAACAGCACATTTTCATTTTTAACTTTATTCTTTTGCTCAACAAAAGGGAGTAACTATAGTATATCCAATTGTTTATGGAAATATTGCAACTTTATTGCCACAAAAAAAAGTTCCAGATTCAGATCATACACATAAATGGACCGTATCAGTAAAAGGGATCAACGGACAAGAAATTGGTCATTTCGTTAAAAAGGTTACTTTCAAATTACACGAAACTTATTCTAATCCCCAAAGGGGTGAGTAAAATAATTTTTTATTTGTTTTTTAATATATGATCCAAATTTGATCTTTATAAAATTTTGGATATAATAGTTGTCGAAACTCCGCCTTTTGAGATTACGGAAACTGGATGGGGTGAATTTGAACTTTCAATAAAACTTCAATTTATCGAAGGTAGTGAAAAACCTGTTACCCTTTATCACAATCTTCGTCTTCATTCTTATGAAGATGATGGCTCAATTTCAACTTCAAGCAAGAATAAACCGGTTCAAAGTTTTCAATACGATGAACTCGTACGGACTATAATAATTCTTATATAGTGTCGTTAATTTATGCTTTTATATATATCTATTATATATGTTTAATTAACAGGTGTTTACTGATCCCCCGGAAACTTTATATCAAATTTTGACAATGCACCCGATCCCAACTCTTCCATCCAAGCCATCACCTAATTCACTATACAGTTTGTATTTTCATATTTTTTTATCTTTTTGTTTTATGAACTTGATTTTGACTATTATATATATATTTTTTTAAAGGCTTACAGGCAGAACAAGATGAACTTCGTAAGATTGAAGAGGCTTACAGAAAAGTTCAAGAACAGATGACTATATATAAAAATAGAAATGATAAAATAACAAAGGAATTAGAAGAAGTTAAAACAGAGTTAGAACGTATCAAAAAGTAATACAATTATTTTATTAATTTGGGTATGTAAAATCAGTTGTTTAACGTTTTAAAACAACACAAATTATAACTGATTTGATATGACATCTCGCTTTTTATTAAAATGCTAACATCTGCGATTATTCCATTGTACAATCAGAACAAAAATTACTATACAGCTTAAATAAATGACACATATATCCTTGCATGGCCATCACTATATAAATTTATTGATAGATTTTTGGTATAGCGATGTTTTTAGTAATGCATTATTTACGCAAATTTCACATAAACATATCATTATATCCCTACATAAAAATTAGTTAGTAAAAATTTAAAAAAAACTTTTTTGAGTTAAATAATTAAACTGATGTAAACTTACGGGCGGTGGCAGCTCATCATTATCAGGTTCTCCACTGATTAAACAAAAACACATCGAGAATGAATAAAGTTAAATAATATTAAATAAGATTAAATAAAATTAAGAATTAATAAATATTACCTAAAAATTCTGCCGCCGCCGCCACGGACCGGGGGCCGACCAGTTTGTGGTCCAAATGGTGAAATTGGATCAAATCTTGCACCCGGCGGAACTGCACCTCTGAATAAAAAAAAAATATATACATATATATATTTATTAGTCGTCTTGTATTTTGTAAATTACACGAGTAAATTCACTACGATACCTTGGTAGAGTTTGTGGCCCACCGTAGATTCCACCACTATTTGGAGGACGTGGATCAAACATTGGGTGGTTTGGCCCTACGTACATTCCACCGCCCCGACTTGGTCCACGAAGAGGTTCATAAGCTCCACCACCAAATCTAACGTATAAAATAAATAGTTCAACATATACAATCTATATCATTATTTATTTTATTATAAAACTAACCTTGGACCTATGATTGGACGAGAGCCAAGGGGATCAAGATCGTCCTGTCCAATGCTTAAAGGGTTATAGCTAAATTTACAAAAAAAAAAAAAAAGGATTGTAATTTAATATAAAAAAAACAAAGATTCAAAAACTAAGACTCAAATAAATGATTACATTGATGATGGTTCGTCACCCCCGTAAGGATCGTCAAAAATAGGTGGCCTAAAACGTGGTGGTTGACGCGTAGGAATACGTAACGGATCATCAGAGGCAGGTTGCGGTTCTCTTCTTCCAGATTGAGAATTAGAACTCGTGTCACTATAAATATATATATATGTGCATAGAAAGGAATATACAATACAATATAAGTTTTAAAAATGTAATTGAACCTAGACGTCAGTATAATCGACGTACTTTGTACGCGCTTCTTCATAACCAGGTTTATGCAATCCTGGAATCAATCTTTGTATGATATTAATTTTATAAATGCTGACTAAGTCTTTAATACGACTTGTTGATATAAATATATTTGCAAGAGGTTCGGAATGTTGTTTCTCAGCAGTATATGGGAAAATCGAAGATGAAGTATAATCATTTGTGATCACTTCAAGGGTACAAGTTTTATTATCCTATATAGATAATTTTAAATAGTACGAATTATCTGGTATTTTTATTCTAATATTCATCACTTACCTCAATTCCCATAGCATGAATCAAAAATTTATTGGCCATCCGCATACATTTGACTAAAAAAGTTAAAGAAGATTGTGGATGCCTATAACGGAAGGCGTATGAATTAGGACCTTGAGAATTCCACCAGTTTGGGAGGCCAATGATATTGCCTTCGGAATCTCTATTTACATTATTGCCTGTTAAAAGCATTAAAATGATAAATCAAGTTTAAATAATTGAAAAACTAATATGAGTAGAAAAAGAGATCGTACCGTCACTATCTTCTTCACCAAGTCCAACAAGCCGAAAACCTACAGCTTCCATAACAGAGTGAAATAACGCTGCGAGTGCATCTTGACTTGAACGAAAAATCTCACTAGCTTCCGGATTTTCAGTCTCAGATTGTGAACCATTTCCTGGTAACGTCTGTTTCATTATCGCCAGGATATTCTCTGGCTCTAAAGGATCAGTTACATTCTGCTCTGCTTGAGACATAATTTAAGTTCTTTTAAAAATTAAATTAACAATTTGTATAAAACCCATTTTTATAATCTCAAAAATTATCATTGCATAATCTCATGTCATAATATTACAAATCATACATGAAGTTACGGCGTTAGGTACACGTGATTTTAATTTTTACAAAATATATATTGGTATATATATCGATATTGATATGTTTTCACCTTAACGGAAAGCAATTTTTTTATTATAATTTAACGTGTCTAAAAAAAAAAAAATAGATCCTTACTAATATACAAGAATATTTATGATAAAAAAATAGCTAGCCTTATTTTTTTTATGTAGAGAAAAAAAAAATATATACTGTATATAGTCCTTTAAAGAATTGTTAGGGTGTATAATAAAACCTCGCAATACTAGCTAAAAATTAGCTAAATACATATATATTAGCTAAATATTAGCTGAATATATAAATGCAAAAAAAAAGGATATAACAAAAATATAAATTGATTTCTATATTTTAATTAATATAAGTGTACAAGTATATATTTCACTATCAATTTGTTGTTTCACCAGCAATATTTCTTGTCTTAACATTCATGTATAGGTCATCAATATTATTATTATTAACAACGTTTGGATCAGATATTTCAAGTAATTGATCTATAGCTCGGGCAATTCTCCATTCGTTATTTTGTAATACAAGTTCACAAATATCAGGATCCATATTAGGAAACATGGACCTAAGTGTCGCAAGTGAGTACTGAAATTCTGCTTCAGAGAGTTTAGCAACTTCAGCCTGTACATCCATATTATCGTTAGAATCGTGCGTAAAATTTGAAGAGGCAATATGTTGTGAAGCATCTGATAATCGTCTTGGAGAAGTATTTATGGAGTCAATGTGTGAAGACTTATGAGGGGAAGTACTTAGCGACGAAGACTCTGAAGCTGAATTAACATCTGACGAAGAACTATTAACGTGACGACTTGATAGCTGTTCATTCATCTCATTGTTGAAGTCATTACTAATTTCGGAAAATATTCTTCCAACTATGTTCAATGGTTTTTGTATTGTCTTCTGAGCCAAAATACTCCCTTTTTCAAAAAGAGCTTTAGCTTGTGCTGGATTCAAAATCGGAGTTCTAACATGTAAAGGGTTTCTTGATGGATGCATCACATTATCATAACTAATTTCTCTATTATTTTCTTGCAATTTCGGACGTTCACGATCAATTTCTTTTACAGTTGCTTCAATATTTCTATAAAAAAAAAAGGTAAGAATTAATTAAAAAAAAAAAATAATAATAACATATTTTAAGTAATAAATTTTATGTTATTGATAGACCTACGCTTCGAAATCTTCTTGTGTTATAGAAAGAGAAGAAGCATCCATATTTTCAATAAATGAAATTGCACCCATCTAAGATATTATAAATTGATTATTAATATGAACAAGAAAAATCGGATAATTCCTATGTAATAGACATACCAAACTTGAAAGATAATAACCCGCTTCAGATTGTAATTTTTCAGGATTTCGAAATCGATAAATGTATCTGAATAAACAAATAAATAAGTTAATCATATATAAGTCAATCTAGATTATTTAGAGAAAATTTAGATACTTACTGGACATTAGATACCAAGTTATCCGGGTTAGCTTTCAACACAACAAATATAAGGATAGGAAGAAATTTATCGGCACTTTCTTCCCCATCTACGTGCCTTATGAGGCCTATGTAAAATTATTATGTAAATGTTTCATTAAAAAGACAAATCTGAGCCCCTACATTAAGTCACAATAAGCATTCACGTCCCATTACTAACCAAAAATGACTTTACAACAATTAAGGATGCAAATAAGTTTATCTCGTGGTGCCTTGAAAAAATTTATTTTTAATAATTCTAAAAAAATTATACATATATATATAAATATAAATAATTTAAAATGAAGAAAAAGGAAAAATGGTAAATGGGAATGAAATAGGGAAGTACCGTTCTTTGCAAATTCAAAATATTGTTCATTATGCTCAGCACGAGTTATATCTAAATGTTCTTCTTTCACCCAACGAAATATTTGAATTTTTTGATGTAAAATTTCGTCACGTTCTCTATCATCAGTTGTAACAGGGCCTTTGATGGCAGGGGAGAAAGTTCTAATAAAAAAAAAAAAAACTCAATAATAATCCAAAAAAAAATCCAAATAATATAAAATAGTACCTACAATTTATACAATCGATTCATAACCAGCTTTTCCATACCCTCTTTAGCATTTTCGAATTCAGCATCGGAAGTGTTACGCCATAATTCACAGTCACGCATTTTTAAAGATATAAACTGAACACAAGTACATAAGTAATTAATTATAAGTAATATCTAAGACAGAACTGAGAAATTTACAATATGTAAGCGAACATACTTCTAAAAAATCATGTATGATTCTGATTTGATCGTTAGCAGGCCAAGGTTTTTTTTCAAATTCCCGTTCAAAACTAATATATATAGATATATAAATCAAAAATGAAATATTGAAAAGAACAAGTAACCAGAATAAAATATATAAAGAGAATTTTACTTTTTGACGTAACGTGCAATGTTTGTTGCACTTGGATTAGCCATTTGTTGAAGGAACCGATTAAAATCAAACTGTAAATCTTGTTGGGGAGAAGGCTTTCTTTCTAAATTGTGTTGTTTTACAACACCTTCAACAGTACTTCCAGATCCAGTAGCTATTTCTCGTGAAGTGTAACTCTTACTTTTTCGATGACTGTAAGAGTCATCAGTTATCGAATCTAATGAATATGAAAAGACAATTTTAACTTAGATTCTAAACAATATAAAAAAAAAAAAAAAAAAAGAATAAAGTTTCAATATCTACCGTCATTATTTTCCAGTATTGTATACGGTTGGCATTCTTCCTTTTCTTCTTTAACAGTTTCAACAGTAGATATTGAGTCAACTGAAGGATTAGTTAATTCCATTCTGAAAGTTCAGTGAGAAAGTTTATCAGACAATGCCAATTTTGTACGATATTTAATTCGTTATCAATTCACGCATTTGTTGATCCATTAGTGTTCTTTATAATTTATACACGTTTAATAAGTGTGGTACGTTGGTGAAACTTTACTCGCGTATAAGAGCATAATCATGTGTTTGAAGTGTATATTTATTCTTAGATCAATGTACTAACTTTTAAGTGTTAAGCCGTTTCGATTTGTACAATGTAATTTACATGCAATTTACATGCATAAAAAAATAAAAAAAACCAGTCATTTTAATCTCACGTGATAAGTATTTTTCGTATATATCACATGGTTTAGTACTTTAAAAAAATGCTTGGGGTGTGATAGAGGAATAATTTTTTTCAATTCATTCAATTCATTTTATATTATATATACATTAGAAAAGTGAAAACCTCAAGAAAGTTGCATTAATATACGCATTATACGGTTAAAGGATAAGTAAAATTGGTAAGAGTGAAACTAAATTGGTATATACGTTTTAACTATATATATATACGATATTTCTATATATAACCTAAACCCAATCCATAAATATAGACGCGCCCTAAAACCAAGCCTACTCTAAGTATCGATCCGATCAACGAAACTTGTTATCAGTAGCCATCTTGTTTTAATGTATATGTTAAAATTCACATGCCTTATTTCAAAAAATTATGTCCAAGTTAACGTATGAGATTTTTTTCTAGCATTCTCGAAGCTCGAATAATGTTTGTTGGTCCTCAAAAGTACTTTATACATACCAGCAATTGATTTGCGTCTTAAAGTTTAACTACGTCGGACAAAAAATCGTCAGATCAGTTTATGATCATACGTATTGATAAAATAATATAAATAAGACCTTTAATATACCATAAGTCTGGCACCAATAAAAAATATTGATCAACCAGAAAAAAAATTATTTGACAGTGAATTACTACACTACATCTATACACATCTATACACATCTATACAGAAGCATCAGCCGATCAATATGAGAGAATATCTCTTAAGAAGCAGTACGAAATCAGAATACAGATATCCTTGCAGAAAAAACGTAATACCAATAAATGATTGCAAAAAAATCTGGTATTTATTTATAAATTATCACTTAATTTGATACTCGTTAATTTGATACTATATTGCTAAAGTGATCTTACTCGTTTCAAATTTCGGTCCAACGAAATCAATTTTCAAACCTACCCAACGTATATACTACAGATGTTATCAAATTTTCTTAAAGATTAGACGTAATTAGACTGTTCACATCATACGGGTGTAACACGTACTCTGGTTATATATAGTAGGTGATTTACATCTATTTACCCGACAGCCCAATTAATCAGCAAATTTTCTGTTTTTAAAAGATTTTGGGTTAGTTTTGTTATAATGATATATATATTTATATTCAAACAAAAGGATCCTGTGATAACTTTTTAAAATAGCGATAACAATACGTAGTGAATTTTTTTCATCGATAATACAGGTGTTGGAATATGCCACTAATAAAAATTTTATTTCTTGCCATAATTTTGTATCATAAATATTAAACCTTTCTATTTGTGAGCTACGAAAACCCCCACGTACGTGATATTAATCGGACGGGTTAATCCGAATGACCCGAAGCCGAACCGTTATAATAAATTACTATATATATATATATTTCATGGCCTATACCGATACTGTACGTACATTTAATTAATTTTATCATAACGGATCAGTTTTGGATTATCAGAGCACTAACTTCGATATTATCAAATAATGACTTACCCCCAGGTACTGTACGTACGTACGTACGTAGCAAAAAATTATCAGGTGATCTTAAGAATGCAAAAATATGTGGGTTACTTATTGTACAAGTTGAAAATCTAAAATAAAAACACTTCAGGCTTTCATTATTTATTATTTACCTGATTCAGTCCTGATCGCCAACATATATGACACGTCGATTTTCTTTTAGCGTTAGCGTTCTCGCATACTGTGTGTTACCGATCAAAGTTCTCAGGGTTAAGTTCAGTAAATAATAAATTTGAA